TATATTAATTAAAATTAAGATTCTAAATTAATTTATAATTAAACCACAATTTTTTCACCAAATTTTCTTTCTTTAACGGACATTATAATTTCTTCATAACCAATCTCGGCAACCAAACAAATTCAAAGCATTTTCTCAGCATCCAAACACTCAAACCATACCATTTTCCAGCGAAACAAATGGAAACCACTAAGAATTGCTTCTTTACCCAACTGCTTCTGTTCTTTTCATTTTGAACCTGCAACTTGGATAATCTCTTCGCAAACAAACATATAACAAAAAAAAAAAACAAAACAAAAAAGTGGAGCCAAACTGGGTTCACGGAACCCAGCTTGTTGGGTTCGGTGGAACCCAGCAGACACAGAGGAAGAAGAGGAAGAAAGAAGAGGAAGAAAGAAAAAGAAAAAAAAGAAAGGAAGAAGATGATCGAAAGAGGGGAAGAAGATGGATAAGATAGGGAGATGGGTAAATTTGTAATTTTTTTTTTTTTATTAAGGTAAAATCGGTTTATGAGTTGGCAATGAGTTGAATGAGTTTGCGATGACGTGTCTTAAAATAAAATTCCAAATCAACTTTTTTTTAAATTGTTTTTATCATCTCATCAAAAAAATTATAAAAAAATGTCACGTGTCGTAGTTAACGGACTAAATTGACAGAAGGACTAACGAAGTGCATTTCTTAGAGTTGAGGGATCAAAAAAGTACAAAAAATTATTGAGGGACAAAATATGTGTAACTTACTAAAGTTGAGGGACCAAATTTAGCATTTAACCAATTGAAAACTAGGATAAAGCATTTGTCTAGTAAAAAATGGGAGATAGGAAGTAGATATCACTCAAAATTCCTGCAGCATAGACTAGTGTTGACACCAAAAAGTGGTGGACAGCATTCCGGGCAGAAGGCTGCAAGAAGGTGATCGGTGGAGACCTACAAGATAGGAAGGTCTGCAGAAGATGAATATGAGTGAGGAGAGGTGAGTGTGGTGTAAAAGAGTGAGAGGAAATAAATGAAGGGGATATTTAATAATTACCTTTTTGTGGTCGCATTAGGTTGCCAACAAGTTCCTAATCTTTTAATAAAAGTGTGCCTCCTGTCCATTTCAAAATATTTCTCAAATAAAACAGTTATTTAGTATATTTTACAAGATTGCTGAGCTTGAGCCAGATTCCCACGGGCTTTGCTCCGTCTGTCTAGCTGAAGTCATATCACTAGCATACGTCACTAGAAAACGTAAAAGGTGAGTCCTATAAATGCCCCATTTTGCCCTTACATAGTGTCCACTTGAATTGGGTTTTTGGTCTTTTCGTGCGATTTTACAAACGGTCGTTACTGTAGCTAAACCATTTACTCCCATGGACTATTCATGCACTATTCATCAATTTAATGGCATTTGATGTAAATCTTCCCTTCCTCTTTGGTTTTTTGGGTAATTCGAAGAGTAAAGACCACTGCTTGGTTACTTCATAATTTTCACCTTTCTATTAAATTTTTGGGTTTTTCCGAAGGTACAATGAAGGGCATGTGTGGGCATATTCCCTTTTTAATAGAAATTACTATATATCAATTTTAACTTTTAAAAATAATTATAGTTTAATTTATTTTTAAAAATTAAAATTTTATCTTATTAAATATTAATATATATAGATTTCAAAATCCATTATATATTTTAATATAATT